AACCAATGTGAAGGATTGCATGGATCTTCCTTTTGTTGTCTTGTATTACAAACTTATACAAAATAGTTGCAATTAAGTTGCACTAATTTAAAGAGAAGTGCATCCTTTTCAGCTTCTATGATGTGGTATTTCTCACACATTAAACTATCGCAGATACCAAAAGGCGAGAGGCGGGGTACACCCTGGACAGGTCACTAATCTGACACAGAGCTAACACATAGAGAAAGACAGCCATTCATACCTATGGGCAATTTAGAATCACCAGTCAATCTAACCCCACTAACTGCATGTCTTTGGACTGTGGGAGGAAGTGGAGAGAACTCCCACAAACACAGGCAGAACATGCAAATTCCACAGAGAAAGACCTGGCCAGATGACGGAGTCAAACTCAGGACCTTCTTGCTGTGAGGCAACAGCCCTAACTACCGCACCACTGAGCTGCTCCGAATTAAATCAGCTGTAGATATTTAATTTAACTAGGCTTTATTTACCTTTTAAACCTTGCTGTCCTGTGCTTTAGATCACAAAGATTCAAATTAGACAAACAAGTGTCCTCAGTTGTGAAAACGAGTTTTTACCAGCTACGCTAAATCTCCAAGGCAAGGCCCCATATTCCACATAAAGACCTTGGACAGCTTATCCATGCCTTTATTACTTCGAGACTAGACTATTGCAATTCTCTGTGCATGGGCCTCCAATTCTCTCTCCTCCAGCGTTTGCAATTAGTTCAAAATGCCACAACACGCCTCTTAACTGGCACCAGAAGGCATGATCACATCACCCTGTTCTAGCCAATCTACACTGGCTCCCTGTTAAATACCGTATTGTTTTTAAAATCCTTTTGTATACTTTTAAAAATGGCGCCCAGTTACCTAACAGACTTTCTCGACGTGTATAGCCCCAACAGAGCACTCAGATCCTCTAATGGCTCTAACTTTTGTGATGTGTGGCTCGTTAGTCAGTGTCTGTTTGCATTTTGAAAAAGTGTCTAGCCTCAAAGCACTCCCTTTCTTTGTCCCTGTCACAATGACACGTCATTGGTCGATAGAGATATTTAAGAGATATTTTATCCAAAAATGTATTATGCATATATATTTGTCATTGTTATGTTTCTGTTTTGACAAAACAGAATACTGTGTCAAAGCCTAAAAGGGAAACTGAGTAAAAATGCATCAGAATTACAGCCTGATGAAGACAAACATTTCCTTCAGGTTTACTTTTTTCTCACAAAAAGTGAAAAGAGAGACAGAAGATAGAACAGACTGAAAACTTATTTTCAGAATAAAATTTGTGGAACAGCAACATGAGGTCAGACAGCCTGAAAACCCCCACAAGATATCTGCAAATTAAGCCCCACATGTATGAGGGCTCCTACTGTAGCCAGCATCTGTGATGAGACGCAGAAGCCATGTATAACCTGACCTCCTACCCACTTAGCTGCAACCTTTCACTCACAAGATTTCATTCATTGCCCAGTGTGTGCCAAGCAGGTGGAGCTCTTCACTTGTTCTAATAAAATGCCTTGGGTCAGAAAGAATAATGTGTGACATTTCAGAGACTACGTGTGGAGCTGAAAATTAAAGCAAGGAAAAGGAGAGTCACACCGAGTGAGAACACGTACCTCCCATCCCTGTCCCAGTCGTAAACGTCCACCTTGACTGTCCTGGAGGGAGGTGAGACAAGGAAGCCAAGGTGAGATAGACATAGGTGAGATTTACAGAAGATAAGAGGGAGTGTGAGGGTGAGAAAGTGAAATGGCAGGAAGACAATAGAGAGAGACTGTCAGAAAGTTGAGTAAGTTAACTTTTCTTCAAAAGATGTTTCACATTATGAAATCAATTAAAATAATGGTGACCCTAAAGTTATACAGTTTGTCATGTCAAAAATTATATAATTATATAATATATAAAAATTCATTTCATAATGAAAATAATGGAAAAAATAATATGTATAATGGATTATATATTTGAAATAAGACAACTTTAAAAAACATCCTTAAAGTCGGTGCTATGACTCAGATTCTTTCAGTCGTGCAATCATCCACGTGACTGTGTGCGCTGTGCTTTAGGCACAAGTATGAGGGGGACTCGTGTTACCCTGGAATTCAGGTTGATTGCCTGTGTGAGATGCAGGTCCAGTTTTCTGTGACTTAAACAGCTACTGTGTAAGAAGTAATTAAATGTAATTAAATTCAATAAATTTATATGTTACACAGCAGAAATTTGTATTTGTTTTATAGTCTGTTTCATTGTGATTTTAGTGTTTATTTTTGAGTTTTTTACTTTGATATTTGTATTGCGTTTCTTGGACAATTTTATTGTGGGATTTTTAGTGTAAAAAGTATTTATGCCTGCTTTCTTCCTCAGGGAATAAACTTTCTTTGATTAGACCTACTCAGTCTCTGTGCCCTGGTTTTCTGATACACATACTCCTCGTATTTAAAGAACCTCCTTTAGGCCCACCAGCTTTAGTGTCTAAACAAACAGCACCAAATCTCAACAGTAGTCCGCTCAACGTGCTTTATTTTGTACAGTAAAGACCCTACAAGATTTGAGACAAAGCCCCAACAATCAGATGATATCCTTGCTGATAGGAGTTTATTTAGGCTACGTTCACACTAATGCATTTTCGTTTGAAAACGCATCGTTTTCTCTCCGTTTTGACCTCCCCTCCACACTGAGACGGCGCTTTCCTCAAGGAAAAAGGCAGCGTTTTGAAAACGCTCTCGAAAACGCACACATTTCAAAACGCAGCTGTCCCGTTGCAGTGTGGACACACGAAAACGCAGACTTTCTAAAACGATGACGTATTTTAGTCATGTGATGCAGTCATGTGACCAAATAAACAAAGATAGCGGAGTACCTTATCAGCGGTTGTTTTGATTGCTCTCAATTTTGACTGCCCTAAAAAAGATGAATATCAGTTTGTACATGCTCCAGATAGCTTTTCTTTAAATTCTTTAATTCTCACTCGCTTTTGCAGCTTTGTACTTTTGTGTTACTCGTAGCAACAACTCCACCTCATTGTTAGTCCATTTAAAAATTTATTGTCTGATCATGGCAGCCCAATAACAAGCCCTAAGCACCAGCCATAGAGGCAGGAATATACCAAAGCCAACAAGTGCATCCAAAGGTGCCCTAGAGACTATCCACCATATAGTAGCAGAACGTAAGATGCAAAGAACAGTATACACTGAGAGGCATAACCAAGTGGCTGAGATAGTATATATGGACTAGAAGTCCCAAATATCCGATACAAGACACCACCAAAGGAGGTGGAGAACAATAAGGTCCTATGGCACCAAAAGTTCCAGACAGATAAGCAGCTGCTGGCAAACTAACCAGACAGTAGTGCAGGGGTGTCGAACTCGACGCCTCGAGGGCCGGTGTCCTGCAGGCTTTAGATCTCACCCTGGGTCAACACACCTGAATCAGTTAATTAGTTCGTTACCAAGCCTCTGGAGAACTTCAAGGCATGTTGAGGAGGTAATTTAGCCATTTAAATCAGCTGTGCTGGATCAAGGACACATCTAAAACCTGCAGGACACCGGCCCTTGAGGCCTGGAGTTCGACACCCCTGTAGCAGTGGGTGACAAGGAGCAGAAGACAAAAAATTGTGATAGATATGGCAAACCCAACAGACAGCAACATCAGGAAGGAGGACAAGAAAATAGAGAAGGAACAACTGGAGCAGATGTGGAAAGTAAAGTCCAAAGCAGTCACGGTGGTAACAGGAACATGAGGAGTTGTAACCCTGATACTGGAAGAGCAGCTCCAGCAGAATCCGAGTGTATAAGAAGTCTCTGTGCAGAACAACACAGTCCTAGGTTCACCTAAGATACTGCGAAGAACCCTCAAAAATCCAGGACTCAAAATTTAACATCACACATATACCCCCCACACATTCATCCTAGCCATTATTAACAGTAGTCTGACCTCTAGTGTGGTGCCAAAATTTTTTTAAAGATGCTATTGTGCAACCCTTTTCTTAACCCTTTTTTTGTCGGGCCTGTCTCCAAGCTACCTTTGTTGTCTAAACTCCTTTAAAATTTTGTCTACACTCAATTTAAGTCCTTCCTGTACGAATATGAAATTCTGGAAGTGTTCCAGTCTTGTTTTAAAACTCACCACAGCACTGAATCTGCTCTATTAAGAGTCTGGTGATTATGTGCTACTTGTGCTGGTGTTCGCTCTGTGTTGTAGCCTCCTGATGACA